CCCCAGATAGTGAGGGTTTAATGAGCGTTTCAAAACCTTTGAGCGTTAATGCCAAATGTTCAATCTTGTTGGAAGTTTAGTGAAATTTATCCTACTAACATAATTGTAGATGTAAGAAGTATCATCTGATTCATTATCACCTTGTTAATGAAACTGAAAGCAAAAGCTAGCATTTTGTAATAACATCAAGTATCAACATTCTTCTTAATTTCTTTAGAATTCCATCTTTCAACTAGATTACATACATGCATAACCTTACGACTCCGTTATAAATTGTAGGATTAGGATGTGAAGCAAGTTGAAACAAAGAGTAAAGCATCAAATAAACTTAGATCACCTACCAAAAATTGGGGCTTTAGTAGGTATAGAATGGAATCATCTCAAATTGAATCATGCACATTTAATTATAGCCATGTATGCTTTCAACTAGTACTATAGTACTACTCACTTGGGGATCACTAGTGAAGGAACCTTACACATTAGTCAAAGCTGAAATCTTTTGACTCATGTTCACACATAAACCCCTATTGCATGCCTCCTATAGGTACATACATTAATATAACCCTTTGTGTCAACGACGAAGGATAAAGATCAGTTAAATTAGGAAATATTAATATGCTTATATGGCAGCTAATCATGACTAGAGATCACCATCTCCACACAATGCACTCGAGAACTGTTTCGTGCACTGGATGACAACTGATGTGGTTGGTAATTCTACGTAGACCTCGAAAGCCTCGTAGATACTGCGCGCGTACGTTTCTAAAGTTGGCATGTCTGCAAACCTAATCAAGAAAACAATTAGGCTAAAAGCATTAATGAGAGACAATATCCATGCTTCGTATAAATTCATGTGGAAGATGTTTTCCCATCCAATTGGTTTTGGGAGTTGCATTTATTATGAATATCCACTAAGCTTCACGTGCAATAATACTCTTTATTTTTTCAACAAATGTCATGAGTAATCCAATTCCATATTGTAAAAGTAAAATCCTACTAGTTTTCAAAAGGGTCAATTTCAGAAAACCCACAAGGTGTTTGCCCTGTTAGGACACAGTTCATACACTATCTCTTTTTGGCATAATAACAAACTCTCATTTGGTACTAATATTGGTTTGATATGATGAGCCAAGACCTGACCTGCTAAGCTAGGTCTTCCTTTGTTCTATCAGTTCTCCTCTTTTGGTTTGAAAGATTGGTCTGTTGCTAGCAGCCAAATCAGCTCTAAATTAAGCTGAATTCAGCCTTTCTACCATCGATGAAAGGCATTTGCCATCGATGACAAGAAGAGCTCATCGATGGTCAACATACGTCATCGATAATTTTGACTCCAAAGACTTTCATATGATCAACGGGCTTCTCAATCATCGATGGGGTCTTGACACCATTGATGGTCGAGAGCCACCATCTATGCACTCGAGAACTGTCCATGCACTGGATGACAACTGATGTGGTTGGTAATTCTACTTAGACCTTGAAAGCCTCATAGATCCTGCGCGCGTACATTTCTAAAGTTGGCATGTCTGCAAACCTAATCAAGAAAACAATTAGGCTAAAAGCATTAATGAGAGACAATCCATGGACGTAAGGTATACATTCATGTGGAAGATGTTTTCCCATCCAATTGGTTTTGGGAGTTGCATTTATTATGAATCCACTAAGCATCACATGCAATACTCTTTTTTTTTCTTCAACAAATGTCATGAGTAATCCAATTCCATATTTTAAAAGTAAAATCCTACTAGTTTTCAAAAGGGTCAATTTTAGAAAACCCACAAGATGTTTGTCTTGTTAGGACACAGTTCGTACAATATCTCTTTTTTGCATAATAATAAACTCTCATTTGGTACTAATATTGGTTTGATATGATGAGCCAAGACCTGACCTGCGAAGTTAGGCCTTCCTTTGCTCTATCTGTTCTCCTCTTTTGGTCCGAAAGATTGGTCTGTTGCTAGCAGCCAAATCGGCTCTACAGCTGAATTCAGCCTTTCTACCATCGATGAAAGGCATTTGCCATAGATGATAAAAAGAGCTCATCGATGGTTAACATACGTCATCGATAATTTTGACTCCAAAGACTTTCATATGATCGACGGGCTTCTCAATCATCAATGGTGTCATGGGGTCTTGACACCATCTATCATATATTTTCAGATTTAAGCACAGCTATTCGTTGTTTATAATATCTCCAATCTCTACCACGTTAAAAAATATCTCTTTCCTAACCCATTTAGGAGTTTATATTATTTTGAGAGAGAGAGAGAGAGAGAGAGAGAGAGAGAGAGAGAGAGAGAGAGAGAGAGAGAGTTCTAGGGTTTTAATTTGTGAAAGATCAAGTTGTTTGACCCTCAGAGCCTCGTTAAACTCTCACTCATCACGCAAAAACTTCTCCAGATCATTTTAGCTCAGGGAATTGCCCTTGGATTAATCTTCTTTACCATTCTTTATCATGATATGCTTATATTCTTTGTAGGATAGTTTGTCTAACAAAAGGGTTGTAAGATCTTTCTTGTATTCTGAGCTTTACTTGTTTATTTTAGTTTTACTTTGAACTTCTTTGATGGCATACTCAAGCCGGTTGAATTGAGAGTTGGGACTAGCTAGAGCTAGGAGTTACTCATTGTGGGAGTTAGATTAGACGACTGATTTTAGATGGATTTCAGGGTCCCGTCTTGTAAGTCTACTGAATTAAGTTTGTGATTCAAGTGAACTCTTTGCATAATGAGGAAGCTCATTCACAAGAAGAAATAGTAGACATTTGATTGTTATTCGAACCACTATAAAATCTTGTGTGTTCCTAGTTATTGTTTTTGGTGTTTGATTATATTACTTTATCGGTTTTATTTTATATATTATGCTGCATATTCTATATTTTTCCTGAAAAACGGCGACAATCCTATTCACAACCCCTTTAGGTTTGCATCTCATATCCAACATGCCTATTTTGAGATAACCTAAAAAATGGCAATATTGCCAAAATGTTTGCATTTTTCGGCATTTATTTTTTACCGAGCTTTTTGGGAGATGTTAATTGAAAAGGTCTTGAGGGTAAATTAAGTGACCTTCCCAAAATTTTTGAGAGTTATCTCAAAACGACAAAACTTCTTGAGGGTTTTTGTGAATTTTACTGCTTTCAAAATGCTATTGTATTAAAGAATTTTTAATCATTATATTATATCTTAAGTAGAAAAAATTTTATACCAAAATAACATTTTTCATATGGTTACGGAATAGTTTTCATAAATATGTTCAGAGCGCAACTAGAACAAAATTACCTATCACTAATGATTTTAATTTTCTGAATATTTCAACTTTACTGAGTTCAAAAGAAATTTACTTTTAGTCCCTAAAGGTGTTGGAATTATGTCTTTGATTATTTGTATAACTTCATGAGAATTAGATAGGATTAAAGATCTATCATGATTAGGAGATTGAGTCTCAATTAGGAGTTGGAATCATATTCTAATTATCAAGTTAGGTTAGAGATAGGGTTTTGATTATTCTTCTATTATTGGAGGAAAAACTAATTAAGCAGATGAGAGAGCCAATATTATTGTAATCTAGGGTTAGCAAAGGGCGTAACCTAATTCAAGAATATTGTGCGAGAGGTGAGGGTTTCGTAGTTTTTGTCCATGCAAAAGATTACATCATTGAGAGATGGTTTTGCGGTCTTTGTCCGTTCAAAAGATTGCAAGGAGAGGGCTTTGGAGAGAATATGAGAGTTATTATGTATGTAAGGTTGAGAGATTGAGAGACGAGAGTTGAGTGGTTCCTCTTGTAGTTCTCTCTGATACATAGTGGATTTCTCGTATTGTTAATTGTCCTGTGGACATAGGTCGAAGTTGGTCGACCGAACCACGTAAATCTCGGTGTTCTTTCTTCTTTATTGTGGTTGTTTTATATCTTGTTGATTGTGGGTTGACTTCAATGTTGCGCAGATCGTAGTAGGCATTGAGACTAAAATTCCCCAACAAAAGGAACATAGAAGTGCTATAGATCTGTGACCCTTTAATCTTTTTATCAAACTGGCTTAATATTCTAAAGGACCCTTTAATCTTTTTATCAAACTGGCTTAATATTCTAAAGGGAGGGTAGAGATTCTTACAACCTAACACTAGTCTAATCAAGATTAGCATTGTGTTGAACTCCTTTGAATATGGAAAGAGACTCATTTGCACAAAGTGTTGAAATATGATGTAATTCTACCCTCCTTCCACTCGTATACAGTGCCGTTAAGGAAATGGAAGCCCAGTTGGATTAATTAGTGTTAGGTGGCAAAGTTTCTAGAAAATGTTACTTATTTTCTTGGTCAATTGCCAATTAAACTAAAGTTGCAATCAGTTTAGTTAATTCGTAACTGTATATATTCTCTGTCAAACTTTTTGGAAGTATGTAATCTTTCAACCTTTCCTCTGGGACTTAAGGTTTCTTCAAGGAAAAGTGAGAACTTAGACCTTTTGGGTCCTTTCCCTATGAAATTATTTCCTTTGGTCTTTTTATTAGTATTAAAAAAGAAGCTATACATCTCATATAATATACCATAACTTTTAAGTACCAAGCATAAAATCTATGTTCTATTAGTGGATAATTCGCATTTTTGTATTAAGTACATGGCCGGGATTCCTAGTGATGAAGAAAAAAAAAACAAAAGAAATCTAATAAATGATTGTGTAATCTTGCAATAGTTGTACAACATAAATACCAATTATGTACCATGAAGCCATTACCGGCCCAGTGCTTAAGAAATGCTTTTGCAAAGTCAGTAATTAACTATTAATTATTACCATGACTTTTAACTTTATCTTATAACAGTTACTGATAAAGGACAAGAGAAACACATGCACATGCATAAAATTTACAAGATTTTTAGTTTCTTAGAAAGTTGCTTTTTGAGGAAACAAAACATGTACCAGTAAAGATTTTCGGAGATTGATTGACAAGGATCATATATCTTATGCAAAATTACCTGAATCACAAATCGAGCACAGCGAATCTAGAAAGAAAAGAAAAAAAACCCTTTACTTTCTCATCCTTGAAACTTTCAAAAGGACTCAATCCCCCCTCAAAAAAAAGTCTCGAAAGGACTCGCATAAAGGAAAACAAGCGCGTCGACTTTGTCGGCTACAGTAACAAATTAGTACTAATAGTATCTTTTAGATAGCTCATTAGCAATAATCTAATCTTATTCCTCCCGGTCGCACGAATCCCAAAGCCGATCATGTCCACAGAGGCTCCTCCCATAAACACCCCTGATTGCTCTCGTCAAGGAAGAAGCTCTCAGGCTCGACGAGAAAGCTCTGGGGGCTGCAGTCCATCGGGTTGTTGATCGACGACGGCGGAGCGCAGTTCTGAAGTTGCTGATGGTTCTGCTGAGAATTTGCCATTTCCATGCAGATGAGGGCGACTAGGTTCGCGTGCTGGGTCTGCATGTTGATGAGCTCCGCCTGCGCGCGTGCGAGGTCCGCCTGAAGCTCGTTCACCTGCTTCTGCAGCTGGCAGATTGCGCCCGCGCAGCCGTACACCGGGTCTCGGATCCGGGCATTCGCTTCGTACACCATGCTGCTGACCGCGTCCGCTCTCTGGTTCTCTGGTAGCTCCTGATCAAAGTCAAGACTAAAGAAATTTAGTGACCCGATTGAAAATTTTCACAAGACTACAGATTCATCAGAACCCTTCAGTACTTCAAAAAAATTTTGAGCTTAATTTCTGGTCTTGTTTGGTCTAGTGGAAAATTGAATGCGGGAATTTGCTGACATGTGACAACAAGTTACAGAAATAACACTGCTCAACCCCCTTTCCATCAGGACTAATATATAGCTTCTGTCAGGAACCAGAATTATTAGTGTGCTTGAGGAAAGCATCCTCGAAATTAAATAGCGTAATTTATTGTAAAAAACATGCAAATCTGAACATTTTTGGGACACTATCCATCTTAGTAATGCCTGCAAGAGGTGTGCACCTGCAGGAACTTGATGATGTTGCTGGCACCGAAGACGCGATGCGCCGTCGTGAATTTGAGCGGCTCAGTAGGCGGGAAATACGGGGCGAGGACGCATTTGTCGACGCATCTGCGACGGAGGATCTTGCAGGCGGCGCAGGGGCTGACGACGATCGACGGCGGAGGAGGAGAGGAGGTAGGAGAGGGAGAACCAGAGGATGAGGAGTTGCAGTTGAAAGTGGTTGTAGTGATAGTAGTATCCAAGCTTGACTCCATTTTAGAGAGGGGAAATTTGAGGAGTGAGTAATTAATAGGGGAAGGAGAATGATTTGGAGTTCAATGAGATGTGAGATCTGGGAATGAGCCAATATATATAGAGGATGAGGAGAGAGAAATAGAGGAGGGAAATGAATTGAAGAGGGGTATGAGGGTTCTGGTTAATTATATTCGGCTACATCCGTTTGAGGAGGAGTGGGGCGAGGGCTCGTTATGTTTTTGTTGGCTGTTGGCCTAATGATTTATATTAACGACTTATTATTTTTTGATATTAATTGATTAATTCCCATCATTCAATATTTTGAACTAACTAATTGTGGACTTTTGTCATATGAAAGGAGGTTCTTTCATACGATGAATATATGTAACCGGATAGTGATTACCAGTAGCGTAATTGTTGAATCTGTTGGTTTGAGTGTAGACCAAACCTGCAGGCGACGAGCTCAAAGTCGAGGCAAGATCCGGCGAGGTCGACGACGAGATCCGGCGAGGTTGACGACGAGGTCCGGCGAGCTCGAGCTCCAACTCAGGCGAGATAGAGATCCACGTAGGCGAGATACAGTCATGAACCAATTAAGTTCAGTTGATATTGAGTTTGATGAAGAAGTACGAGCGTTGATCCTTTTGTCTTCCCTACCAGAAAGCTAGAATGCTACCGTCACAGCTGTGTGTAGCTCGTCGGGAAGCAACAAGTTGAAGTTCGATGATGTTCGTGATCTGGTTCTCAGTGAGGAGATCCGACGGAGAGAGTCGGGTGAAGCTACAACCTCTTCAGTATTGCATACAGAATCAAGAGGTAGAAATTCAACCAGAGGAAATGGATCAAAGAACAAGAGGTCCAAATCCAAGAATCCCAGCAGCTCGAAGGCTATCGAGTGTTGGAAGTGTGGGAAAACCGGGCACTAAAAGAATCAGTGCAAGAGCGCACAGAAGAAGTGGGAGGCAACGACAGATGCAAATGTTGCTTCTACCTCAGGAGGAGATGATGCATGGATATGCTCTTTGGAGAGCAAGGAGGAGACTTGGGTGTTGGACTCTGGAGCATCATTCCATGCTACTTCTCCTAAAGAATTCCTCGAGAAGTATATCATCGAAAACCTTGGAAATGTATACCTTGGTGATGATCAATCGTGTGTCATTATTGGTAAATGTGTAGTGAAAATTAAGTTGAACGGGCTAGTATGTAAGCTGAAGGATGTCAGACATATTCCCGACCTGAAAAAGAACTTAATCTTAGTAAGACATCTGGCTAGTGAAGGCTACACTACGACTTTTCATGGTGGTGATTGGAGGATTTCAAAAGGTGCAATGATAATTGCCCGAGGCAAGAAGACTGGTACCCTATATATGACAGAAGGTGCACATTGTTTGATCTTAATTGTAGCAGGCGATGAGATTTCAAGGCTATGGCACCAGAGACTCGGTTATATGAGTGAGAAGGGGATAAAGATTATACACACAAAGGGAAAACTCCCAGGTTTACAATCAGTATAGATTGACATGTGTAAAGAATACATACTTGGAAAGCAGAAGAGAGTTAGCTTTCAGACAAGTGGCAGAACCCCTAGGAAAGAGAAGCTAGAGCTCGTTCACTCAGATGTTTGGAGACCAACCACCACGCCCGTCCATTGGTGGGAAACACTAGTTCGTGACTTTTATCGATGATCACTCTTGGAAAGTATGGGTCTACTTTCTGAAGCATAAGTCAGAAGTATTTGAGGCTTTCAGGAGATGGAAAGCTATGTCCGAGAATGAGACCGATCTGAGAATAAAGAAGCTCAGGACCGATAATGATGGTGACTATGAAGACATCGGGTTTAAGAAGTTCTGCTATGAGCACGGTATCAGAATAGAGAGAGCCGTACCCGACATGCCTCAACAAAATGGTATAGCTAAGCGGATGAACCGAACATTGACAGAGAGAGCCAAAAGCATTCGTATACAGTCAGGTCTATCAAAGCAGTTCTAGACAGAAGCAGTCAACACAGCAGCTTACTTGATCAACCGAGGTCCATCGGTTCTATTGGAGCACAGAATACCAGTGGAGGTATAGTGCGGAAAGGAGGTAGAACTCTCACATCTCAAAGTTTTCGGTTGTGTAGCTTATGTGTATATTAGTGATCAAGTCAGGAATAAGCTTGATCCTAAGTCCAAGAAATGCACTTTCATCGGCTATGGTGAAGATGAGTTCGACTACTGCATTTGGGACAATGAAAACAAGAAGGTGTAAGAGCAGAGATGTGACATTCAACGAGAAGGTGATGTACAAGGACATGCACAAGATAGATGACTCAGAGAGAGAGTCAACATTTGTAGATACAGATGATATCCCGAGTAACCTCTCAGAAGAACCCAATGCAGAAGGTCCTCAGCCAGAAGAGTTTGTTGAACAGAACAGTGCGCAGAGCCCGATGCACCAGCTCCGATATTGAGAAGGTCTACTCGTCCTCCTGTGCCTAATAACATACATGAATTATATGTTACTAACAGATATAGAGGAGCCTAAAAGCTTTGATGAAGCTTGTCATAGTGGAGATATGAGCAAGTGGGAGGTTGCCATAAAAGAAGAGATGAAATCTATGATCTCCAACTAGACATGGGAACTAGCTTAGTTGCCCATGGGGAAGAAGGCACATCACAACAAGTGAGTGTATCAAGTGAAAAAAGAACATGATGGTTCCAAAAGATACAGAGCCCGACAAGTTTCCAAAAGATTTCAACAGAAGATCCAAGGAAGTAAGAATCTAGCGGATATGTTGACAAAGGCAGTGACATTTCAGAAACTAGAATTGTGCGTAACTTCAGTTAGCATTCATGCATAGGTGACGAAGGCGGAGCCACACAGGAGGAGGTGTTTGTTGAGATAGCCTGCTGACGGCGGTTTGGTCTCCAAGTGGGAGATTGTTGGTTTGGGTATTGACCAAACCTGCAAGCGACGAGCTCAAAGTTGAGGCAAGATCCGGCGAGGTCGACGACGAGGTCCGGCGAGCTCGAGCTCCAACTTAGGCGAGATAGAGATCCACACAAGCGAGCGTGAGTGAGGACCAGGCAGGTGAGCTCGAGGAATTCCACAGTCAAGGTCGAGGAGTTGTGCAGGCAAGCTCGAATCGACTCAGGCGAGGTCGACAAAAGCGGGGTTGGCTCAGCTGAGCTCGAGCGCTCGTTTGAGTGCAGACAGGCTGTCGACAGTCCACCTAGGGTTTCCCTATAAAAGGGAAACCCAGAGCCCCCCTATTGCTTTTTCTACTCTCTCTCCTCGCGATCTCCAGACCCAAGCACCGACAGCTCCTCTTTCTCTCTTTGCTCTTTTTCTTTTCTCCAGCTCTCACGCGATTTGAGGGGGAATAAAAGAGAGAACTTAAGAGAGAGAGAGAGAGAGAGAGAGAGAGAGAGAGAGAGAGAGAGAGAGAGAGAGAGAGAGAGAGAGAGAGAGAGAGNTATATAGAGAGAGAGAGAGAGAGAGAGAGAGAGAGAGAGAGAGAGTTGGTATTTAAGAGAGGAAATTAACACAGTCACTACAGTGTTGGTATTGCATTTATTGAGAGATCTTAAGTTTGAAATCTGCTCTTGCATTGTAATTTCTTAGATTAATAAGAAATTAATAGTGTGGCTCCTGAGGACGTAAGCAAGTTTGTCGAATCTCGTTATATCTTGGTGTATTTTTCTCTATACTGTGTTTCTTGTTGTTTTAAGGGTTTAGCGTAGCCCCGAGTATATTCCCCAATAGAATCTATGAGTCGGTTTTTAAAGGAAGAAATGACATTAACTTCCAAGTAGTAAATTATACTGAAGCAAGCATTCACATAATTGATATGTATTGTTAATATTTGCTGACAAATCTGGCATTCAATTTGGATGACTCTAACAAATATCACGCATATGTTAAGATATATCGGGTCACACTCATGGTCAAGAGACAGTTATACATAGGGCATCGATTAATGAACATTAATGTCACTAATCATGCTTAATTGAGACACTTGCAATTCTATAGCATATAACAATTCTTAATGTCACAGTTAAAAGATCAAATGGTTGAAACATTGAATGACTCAAATATTGGTTAAGAATCCACCATGTATATGGTTAGGTCCAACGCAGTCTATAATTCCATACTACATATTGCCTAACTATTACCCAATAATAACAGTTGTCACTTACTATAAAGCCTATTAAAAAAATAACTATGTAATTTAATGAACACCTTTCTCCGTGAAATGTTCCACATCACTTTCATACGAACCTGTAATTTCCTCACTATACGACCCTCACTCGTTTCATTATCCCACTAATCACCATTTTCTTCTCTCTAATTGGGTTACAATCAATTAATATGCTGACTAAAGCTTTAATTTCGGTGAGAGGGACTCAAAGGGTTTAAAAGTCGACTCTCTTTCAATTGGTTTGCGTAAGCAAGGTTAGGGTCAAGTGTTGGTGAGAAGGCGGTCCGCTCGTTGGGCACGGGAAAGCAACGCATGCTAGGTCTCCACGATATTTGGGGACGTGACAAACGCACACCTCTCCAAACTCTAGGGTCAGGGTTTTGTTAGGCCTTTGTGTTATTTAGATATTAGTCCCTCAGATATTTTGCATTTTGTTGAGATTACTCGCCCGTTTGTGTTTAGGTGGGGTATTCCTTCTATTTCAATTTTATGGGGTGGAATTTCAATTATAAAATTCAAATTGATGTCTGGAATCACACAGCCAATAGGGGGGAGGTTGTCTACCGAGGGAGGATGATAAAGGATAAAGGGACCGACTCCCCCTCCGACTTTATGCCTAGCTCTGAGCGCACGGGGTGGACTGATGGCCTGCACACACAAGGAACGTCGGGGTACGGGGCGTGTTTCCCCCGTGGTACCTCCGACGGTCAAGTTAGAGGATGAGTTTGAGGGAGGTTTTGGAGAGAGTTCCTGGGTCATTGAGGTCTATGCAGGGTACATTCTCATTTTAGAATTTTTTTTTAGCAACTTGAAGAAAAGAATGACTTCTTAGTTGTTTTAGTTCAAGGTCCCAAAAAAGAGAGCGCTCCCCTGTCCCCTTCTTTTCC